TACACTTAAACTAAGAAGTGCATTTTACTTAGGTTATTTACTTAAACTCACCTACTATTACTATTTTTGCTCTAAAAATAATCCTACTGTCCCAACTGTACTATAATGGCATCTAGGGCTAGTGGATCTCCACAAACCCTCTGTAGACCAGTAGTTCTCAGAGTGTGGTCCCTGCCCCAGCAGCATCAGCAGCATCTGGGAACTTGTCACAAGTACAGATTCCAGGGCCAATCTCAGATCTACAGAATCAGAAGCTCTGGGGCCAGAAAATTCATCTTAACAAGCCCTCCAGGTGATTTCCAATGCACTCTAAGGACTGAAAAATAATTGCTCTAGGCAAACACCCAAGAAACAATTCTACAGAAAGTTACCAGGTACAGCTGGCTAAAATTGCTCCATCACTGCCTCTCCTTCAAGTCCATAGTCACAAATGACCTAAAGGTCATCTAATTTGACTAAAAAGTAATGAGTAAAAGCCCTAGATTGGTGCTAATGCCAAATGATTGGCCTTTGCTTGTCCCTAAGGCCCCACCTTCTCTTGCCCTCTATCAGTGTTGAACTTCTGAGGAAGACAAGTGATGCTGAAATCTTAAATTCCAATGAAGCCATATTAACAGTTGCTCAGACTGAGCATTAAAACATAGCTCATGTGCATTACTTTCCAGGTACCTATGAGTAGCTTATAATGTTACGAAGATCTCACTTTGTAGATAAAATGTAAATAATTTATTTCTTTTACATTTGGGGCTCCAACTTAGGAATTTCACAGTGTGCTACAATAATGGATTTCTCAGCGGTGTCTCTTTTTTGCAAGACAAACATTATTAAGTAACTTATTTATAAAAGTATTACAATAATGCTAAATTTAATTTTTATTGCTAATTTAACTTACAAAGATTTTTCTATGCATCAAATGTAACTTACTGCTACTAAACTTAATTTAAAATTTACTCGATAACCAAATGAAATATATTTAAAATATATCGAATATTTTATATTATATTCTGACAAAATTACAATATTGTACTAATATTTCTGTATTTACAGCTAAAATAATGTTTTATTGTGTTGTCTAAGAATAAAATTGAAAAAATTATATCTGGTGTTATTTTGTCAAAATGGAAATAAATTTATTTTTTTGGATTGTAAAAACAATATATGTTCACTGTAAAAACAACAATACAGAAGTTATGAAGAATATAAAAATTGCCATAATCTAACCTCTTATCCTCACCCAAGATAATTAAGGTATATACCTTCCAGAACTTTTCCTGTAAATATATTTTCAAACAAAAGTGAGATAAAAGCATGCTGTTTTGAAACAGATTTTTTAAAACTTAATATGCTGTGGACATATTTTCATATCAATAGATAAGAACTAATCATTATTTTCATGGATTTACTACATAAGTCAATGAATCCCCAACTGATGGACACAATCGAGTTTTATTATGAACATATTATACATATTTCGTTTCACACTTGTGCAATTATTTCCTCAGGATAAATCTCTAGACGGAGACTTACAAAATCACAGAACTCACACAATCTTAGGCCTTTGATATATACAGAAAAACGCTCTCTGGGAAGGTTGTTAGAATTTCCAGCTGCATCAACAATGTAATGAAAACATTCATCTCCTTATGCTTTTACCAATACTGGGTATTGGTTTTCTTTTACAATTTTGCCTATCTTGTTTTAATCTACATTTTGCTCATTACCAGTAAGGCTGAACATTTACCACTTTTAATTAGTATTTGTTTTTTTTAAATTAGTATTTTTTCCTAACACTTGTTTTTGTTTTCGTGCGAAGGGCCTAATCATATTTTTGTTCATTTTCTATTGAGGTGTTTAAAGAGTTTTTACAAATCAGTAAGAAAACGTATAGGTTACAGAAATTATGGGTCAAATTTTGATAAATGTTTCCCATTTATGCTACATATACTCCTCATTCAAGGAAAAATACTCATAAAATTTCAAATGTAGATAATTGGTAAAGAAGAATGCTTTTAATATATAAAATAGGAAATCTCTTAAGTAAGGAACTTTCAGGCTGTATTAAATGGCAATAAAGATATAATCAAAGGAAGAAAGAGAATGAACAGTGGTCTTGGTTAATAGTTCTAAGAAGACCAAGAAAACTGTTGCTCAAATAAATACTTAAGAAACAGTCTTATAATTGGGCCAAAAACTCTAATTTGAAAACACGTTGAGTCAAAGAATATACTAATCCATTTTAGTAAACTTACTTTTACTGCTGGCAAGTAAGAAGAATGAATGTTGTGTTTGAGCTCATTACCTCTCTCTACTTATAAGCCTTTTGGAAAGGAAAATCTTGATCAGTCTCTAACAGATTCCTAGCAACCTGCTGACAGGGCACTTGCCCAACTCTAAGAGTGTTTAATTCACCACCCCCTAAACCCAGCTCCACCTAGTGGAAACTAAGTCAACCAAACACAGCAGAGAGAGTAACTGATTTTGAATAACCAGGCTAAATTTAAACATCAGATAAATATGACTCTCTAAGTTTTTGTAGACTCTGTGGTTTTTCTAAAAACACTGACATTGCTCAAAACCTTTTTAGAGCTTTTGCTTTGGAATCTCTTCAATTCCAGTTTATCAGCCAAACCAGGAAATAGGTCTCATCACTTTGTACCCAAGACCTACAATGTGCTCAATATGTTTGGCTCCACAGTAGATATCCAGACGAGGGAGATACAGACCTTGGTCGTAAACATGGAATTTATAATTGATATATAATTTATAATCTGGTAGGGGAAAACAAGATAAATGCATAGATGATTATAATATTGGACAGAATGTGATAAACACTGTAAGAGACAACAAATAGTGATTCAAAAGTTGGAGGCTTCAGGAAACGATTCATAAAAGAAGGGACATTTTAGGCGGTCCTTGAAGGGCAGTTAGGATTTCAAGAAGCAGAAGGTAGTCAGAGGCAGGATGGCATTCCAGGTGGCAGAAATAGCATAGATAAAAGTAAGTAGTTAGGAAAGCATGAAGCACCCTCAGAGAACAATTAGTGGTCAAGAATATATGGAATATGTGGAATACATACATATCATACATATATACACAACCACACATACACACCCCCATACACATACACACACACAGTGGTAAATAAAGTAGTATAGCAGGAGGTTAGGGCCATATTAAGTAGGGTTTACAATAGCAGGTTGAAATTGTACTTCATTGGTTGGTACTGGAGATTCAGTGAAGATTTTGAGCCAAAGAGCTGAAAGATCATATAAATGGCAACCTGGAAGAGCCAGTATTTAATACACTACCCTTAGAGGCTATTTCACAGTTTCAAGTGTTTTTAAAAACTATTAGATTTCTATTACAGACTTTTGAATTTGTAAAGAACTGTAAATCATTAATTTCTTTTTGAACTTGGGGCTTCAAATGTGGGGCGTTACAAATTGTAAAAATAGGTCCCGTGTGGATCCAATGTCTAGGAAGAATCAGGAAAAGAAAAAGATTGGAGATGGGGAGGCCAGATAAAAGGGTAACAGCCCACATGATGGTTGGGAACAGAAAAGACAGAGAAAGTAGACAGTGGGCATTGAGGTGGGAAAATTCAAAGGATGGGGGACTTGAGAACAGTGAATGATGATTACAGAATTTTGAACCTTGGTGACTGGAAAAATAATCTTGCCATTAAGTGAAAAAGGAAACTTAGAAGTTATCTGGATGAGGAAGAAGGAGAAAATTTGAGTTTGAAATCCTGTCGAGATCAAAGCTCCAATGGGACACTCAGGAAGAACTGGCTAGAGCTAGTGCAACAAGATGAGACTAAATGGATGTGTTTATTTAGATTTATATACCACCTTTTCCCACAGAAGATTTGAGGCAACCGTGGGTGCAAGGATAGTCAGTGATGGACTGAGTCATAAATAGGAATGTCTACAGGAATGATGGAAGAGAAGGAAGACCCAGCATGAAGCTTTATCACAGAAAACAAGGGAGCAGAGTTTCCAGGTAAGGGAGAGAAATGCCTTTTCTTTCTTTGAGAATTTCCTGCCAGATAGTGTTAGGCACTTTCATGTACTGCTTCTGTCTCAATTTAACAAAATCAAATGATGCAGGAAGATTAAGGGGGATCAGGGTTAAGGGAGAAGACTTTGGATTTGGTAATTGGATCACAACGTTCATTTGAAAGTTATCTAAAAACGTTTTTCTTGGGGTGAGGAGGCAGGAGTAAAAACGAAATAGTAAGTAATTCACAAGTGGAAGGGTATTAATGGAAGCAGCAGAACCCTTCACTTCTAAAGGATTTTGGTCATGGATGGCTTACCCAGCTCGGTCTCTGTCTTCCCGCAAAACGTTGGCTTGGAATGACTGCTCATTCCTAAAATCAGTCTATTCTTAGGAAGAATGATTTGTCCCTATTACGAAGGGGCCCAAGAACGCAATTCCCAGAAGTCTTTCCAAATTGTTTTGAAGAATGGTAACTTCTCTGAAATATCTTTAGCTTCTAAAGAAGCACATACTCATGTTTGTATCTTTGTTCGGCTGTTTGTTAAAATCGAGGCATATAAAGCACTCTGGGATTTTGCTTCAGTCCGTTCCAACGCTGATGAGCACGGTACCGATTTTCCCGCGGAAAGTTAGGAGTTAGGTGCTTAGAGCCAGAGAGCGCTCCGGGAAGGCTGCCGACTACTGTGAAACTTAACTTCTCCTTTCCATGATTCTCATCCTGAAGGATTAGTGGAGCCAGCCAGGGCAGGGGTCACTGTTAAGGGAGACATCTAACAGAGGTCTTGAAGAGAACCCAAAATTGGAGCGTTTAAGAATCCCTTGCAGAGCTGATGAAATATGCAGATTTTTAGGCCTCATATCACATAGATTTTGATGCAGATAGTCCTGAAAAACAGTTATTTTAACTGGCTACCTTGTAAACACGAGGTTCTTAAAAATCACGAACCCTCATAAACCTGGGTGTGAACGAAACTTACTTATTGCATAAATACTGTTACCTGAGGTTGGCCGACTTCGCCCACAACAAAGATGTCTCCGTATCGCCGTCGCGCCGCCCCTGCTGCTGTGCGTGCGCCTCACGTCCGCCCTTCCTCTCGTCACGTGACCACGAACCTGCCTCAGCTACGGCTCCTGGCAGAGGCCAGCCCCAGCCGTTCTCGCGTCTCTCCCGGCCCGCTGCGGGCCGCTCCGGCGGGTGCCTTGGCCGGGCGCCTCCATGCGCTCCGCCAACGGCCTCTGAGAGCGCCCACCCGAGCGCCCCGGGAGTCAGCGGGCGGCGGCTCTCGCCGGGGACCCTCCAGCGGGCCCAGGGGTGAGTGCTGACCTCTTCCCGACCCGGGGCCCGCGGCCCGGGCCGGTCACCCGCCCTAGTGCCGCGGCTGTGACCCTGCGGCCGCCCGAGGGACTCGCGGTGGCCCCGGCCCGTCCGTGGTGTCGCTGTGGCCCGAGTCCCGCCCCGCGGGCCGCTCACCTTCAACCCTGGCCTTTCCTTGTCCTCGGGCGTTGCCGCCGCCTCAGTCCCTGAGGAGCACAACGGAGGGCAGCACACTCTCCTGCCAACGCTTTTGGGCTAACCTCGTCACCTTTCTAGTTCGGTGTCCCGTTTTGTCGGTAAATGTGACTTTTCCGGTAGAACATAGTTTGGGGGTTGGGAAACGCTCGGGGCGTCCTGAGAGCTTGGACGCGGGGCTTTGCTGGTCGTCGTCCCTCATCCCTCCGGGCTAAGGCCCTGGGATGTCTTGGTATGACCTTGAATCAACACCTGCCGTTTTTAAAGGAGCTTTTTGTTTGTTTGATTGTTTTTACTTTGTGGATAATACGTATTCGAAAAGAAAGGCCTCGCTGGAAGCGCGGCCGTGCGCGGGAGGCCCCTGGTGGGCCCGGTCTGCCAGCATCCTTGCACATCCTTGCCCGCAGGTGTGGATGCAGGGAGCTGCTCCTCGGATTTCCTTCCGGGAGCTGGGCAGCTGGAGGAGAGCTCGGCTCCCGTTCTGCCAGCCTCTGACCTTTGTCTGCAGGACGTGTCGTCCTCCTGTGGGAGAAGAACCCCCCAGTTCTGCCCTCTACAGCGTTAGAACAAGGGGTATTCTCGAGGGAGGAGAACCCTTTCAAAAGCGGTGGCGTCTTTTAATTGCAGAAGATAAGCCTCGCAGCGCTTGTTCCCACATGCAGAACCAGTTGTATCAGGGCTCTCACCCACTGAGAGACGTTAACTGGAGGATCTCAAATGTTTTCTCTCCCTAGATGAAAATTTGTTTCTGTGTCAGTTTCACCCGCTAATGAGATCCGAAAGGAAAGACCCTTAGGAAAATGGATTTGGAAAGAATTAGAACGATTTCGTTGCACTTAGTAGTCTTTTCCCATGTAATTAAATTGTGTCTGGGACCTGCCATCTTGGTTCCAAACGCTTGTGAGTTGGTTTTGCTCTTCTTTCCAAAAGGAAATTGTGTGTTCTACCCCTTCCTGTCTGATAGGACTGCCCATTTTAGGATTGCAAAGTTTAGCTGTTACTCTCCTCCCTTCTGGTGTTGAAATTTGTTTTCTTGTGGCTTCATAACCTTATTTTAAAGTTCGTTAGTTTATAGTTTTCCAAGTTTTCAATGACTTTGCTTAAAAAATTAAACTTAATCCTGGTTGGCTACAGCCTGATTGTTCAGTTGCTTGAAAAGAGAACTGAAACAGAGTGACCTATATAAAAACCTTGAACTAGGCCCACACAATATGTGATAAAGAGCTTGACTTTTTTTGTAGTTGGAAAATATGTAAATCTTTGCAACCACAGTCAGTTTGATCCAAGTTGTTTCTGTGACTTCCTGGGCTGTTTCTCTGGGTCCCAGTTTTCTAATTTAGAAAATGAGAAAGTCAGGCTTGAATCATTGAGTCCCAAAATTGGGACACTTTCCATAAGTGGGATGTGACTTGACTCTAGGTGGTATATGGATGACGGTTTTTGTAATAGTTAGGTTTTTGTTACGTGTATTTATATATGTACATCAAGTCCGTGGATTAACGTAATGATGTAAAATTTTCTTTTAAAATACATTTGTTAAGGATTTTTAAATTTTGAGTTAAAGAAAAGATTAAGTGTAGCTAAGAGTAAATGGACTGTGTCAATATGGGAAAAAAAAATGAAATTGGTAAGTAAGTTACTGATGTTTGGGAACCACTGGGCTTAGAAAGTAGAGATCTAAGATCATCTATGATTCTGAGAGGGATTATGTGTCCTTAGTTATATAACAGAGAATCGTGTACTAGTTGCCTGGAAGATAACTCCAAATAAGAAGTTTATTTTATTTATTGCCAAAAGGTTTTACCAAAAATGCCATAGTCTAATAGGGAGAAAAAAAAGTTGTAGTTTGATCTATTTTACTTAAGCAGGAAAGCCAGTAATTGGAACAGTACAGAGTTAAATCTTAGTAGAAAATTTCCATTTATTTTTAGAATTTAAGTAGCTCAGGTTGGCTACAGGAGGATTTAGCTTTTTCCAGAAGTTGTCTTTTCAGTGTCCACCTTTACGATCAATGTCTGTGATACTTTACAAACGCAGAGCTTCTCCTAAGACAGGATGTTACTATAGAATGAAATGTTGAGACCCATGGGATATACTAGTGGAAAGTTAATAAGACTGAAATGTGGTAAATGGAGTGTGGAAAATGGCACATTTCAGGGAGATAATGTTCTAGCAATTTGCATCCCTTGTTTATTATTATAAAGCTTCAATTTATAATGTCCCAAGGCTATAATCCTTTTGAGATGTCTCTTCAGTGTTATTTCTAGATATAAGCTTTAATTGTGCTTCAGGCACACAGGGATAGGAAGAGTATCTCATCTAGAATGATGCACAAAAATTGCTAATAGAGCTTGCTAGTGGGGACCTGGGTGGTTGTAGGATGGGATCTGGTGGGAGACTTTATTTTCTCTGTACGTTCTTGTGTACTCTGTACCATGTGCATTTATTACTGGTTCAAATTAAATACTAAATGAAAGTTATGAATGAAATTAAATACAAAATTTAATACTGAATGAAAATTTAGCCAATGCATTTGTTCCTCCTTAATATATGTGTGTATATTATATATATAGTGTGCATATTATGTATATACACATAAAGATTTTTTTAAACTTAGATATTTTTCCTCTGCCACATTTTTCTAAGTTCAAATCAGAAACGATGGCAGTAGTCTTTCATTTTACCTTGCATTAACTAGTGAATGCTCGTAAGATCCTGTCTGTGGGACTAAAATTGGTGGTAAGTTTGTTCATTTTTTCTTTATTTATTTTATTGGTTTCTTAATATAAGGTTGTACACCTTTAGTGACTTTTATCATTTGGTGGATTTCCAGCGATGAATCTCTACTGTTGGTATCATCTAGTTTCTCATTTAGCTCCTGTTTTTCTCCCCCAGGGACGTAAGTGGCTCTGAATCCAGCACATGCACATTGAAGCAAGTTAAAGGGTTTAATATGAAGCGCAGAAGTAGATAGTGCCAAATAGCAAACAGTCCTCGGTACACGTTTGTGAGTAAAAGTTTCCTCTTTCAGCTCTCTTTTCTTACTGTTTAAACCATCTATCTGCATGCCGAATCCTTTCACACATTTGACAAAGAATAAAAGAAGCAAGTTAGCTTACTTAAGCAACCCTCTAAGAACTCTCCTAAGCATCTCAGTGAGGTGACGTTTAAGGTGTGTAATCCATCTCTGACATGGAGTTTAAGAAATATCCCCGCTGTCCCTTACATGTATACTCTCTTTAATCTTTTATTGCCCTTGATTTATATATAATATCTTTTGCTGAAAATTTAGTGTAATTTGGTTTTCAAAGTTATTTCCTTTTAAAGAAACCATTACTTACACATCAAATTTTTAGGCTACCTCAAGTATATTTACCTCTGCTCTTTACATTTTCTTTGTGATTTCTTCATTTGTACTTAGTCTAAAAAGGAAAAGGATTTTTTTCTCCTTCAGAATATAATGACTAGTGGAGTTTTATGACAAAATGTTTTTTTCTAATGTGACTTCACATTTATAAATACATTTGATTGGCTTTTCTTTATCCTATTTGCAAAATCATAAAACAGTACCTATGCTTGAAACCGTCTTTAGGATTTTTGAGGTATAGCCTGACTGTTTAGGAGAGAGTTGAAAAGTGCTTTTCAGACCAAGCTCCAAGCCTTTTAATTTTAAGTAGATGTGTACTTTTATTTATAGTTTTCTTCTGAAATAAATTGCTGAAATACTGATTTTTATTCTTTCTTTTTTACAGCTGGAAAAGCAGTGTCCGTGTTGTTATGTACACCTCCAAAAAAGTTCAGATCTGTAGGGGAATTGTTGTGTAAAGTAAACTGAACTACAGGGTAGCAGTATTTTAATAGCTATTATAGACGTGTATTTACTGTATTAAACATGAGTAAAACAACAAGCATTGACACACCACTAGGAAGGTCAGTGACATTTTATTCAGTCGAGCTGGTATTACAGGCTTGAGAGATAGTGGCTTGAAAGCTGGTTGCCATAGGCTAACCATACTCTTTTACATTTTACCAGCATTTTCTATTTTGGGGCAAGTTTCTTTCTACTGCATTTCCCTGAAGCATAGATCCTTCTCTAATTTAGGTTACCCAATGCATTTGTACCATCTTTCCCCTTAAAGGCATGTCATGCTTTTTAAAAATATACTTGTAAATATGATATTAAATATAAATTAGTAATGTGAAACTTTCAGTCCCTCAAAATGAATGTGTACATTAAGAATCTATTAATACATATTCTATATTTGGTATCCATTGCCTCTTAGTCATCAAGTATACATTCAGTAAGAAGTTTTAATTTGTGTTTTGTGATTTTTCAGGGAGTTGCATCTTCTTTTTCAGTAAATTTAGAATTAACCTTATTTGCCTTATGAATCTGATTTTCATCATTAAAAGGTTTTATTTTTTTCATGCATGACAGCAGTTTTCTTTTTTAAGATTTTGTTTTTCCTTTTTCTCCCCAAAGCCCCCCGGTACATAGTTGTATATCTTAGTTGTGGGTCCTTCTAATTGTGATATGTGGGACGCCGCCTCAGCATGGCCTGATGAGCAGTGCCACGTCCGCGCCCAGGATCTGAACGGGCAAAACCCTGGGCCGCAGAAGCAG